GAAGTTCACATAAAAGCAGCTTTTTATATTCCGAGCCCCAAGGTGTCCTCAGAGATTCATTCCTGTAGACCTAATTGCCATTTGGCATCTTCACTTGGATGTGCAACAGGCACTCAAGCATAACACGGCAAAAACTGAAAGCTGATTTTTCCCAAACTTGCACTTTTCCCAGTATTCTCTGTCTCAGCAAGGAACACATCCATTCATCCATTTGTTCAGGGAAAATAAACTTGGAGTTAGTCTTGTTTTCTCTCTTTTCCATTAACATTCTATCCAAAAGGCAGTTCTGGAGCTCTACTTTGTAAAATATCTGACCACTTTCTTTTTTTTTTTCTTACAGGTACTGGAGATTGAACTTGGGGACACTCAACCACTGAGCCACATCCCCAACCTTATTTTGAATTTTATTTAGAGACAGGGTCTCACTGAGTTGCTTAGTGCCTTGCTTCTGCTGAGGCTGGTTTTGAACTTGCGATCCTCCTGCCTCAGGCTCCTGAGCCACTGGTATTACAGGAGTGTGCCCCCCCACTGGGCTCTATCTGACCACTTTCTGCATCACCTGTATTGCTAAGCACTCAGACCTATGATGACCAATAGAGTATGGCAAGAGAGATGCTATGTAGCTCCTAAGACTAGGTCAAAGGAAGGCCATGCGATTGTACCTTGCTGACTTGGGATACTCACTCTTGAAACTCAATGCCAGTAACCAGTAAAAAAGCTCAAGTGGAGAGAAACAGAGAACCTTCCCTAACCCACAGCCCTGCCAGTTGATAGCCAGCACAACCTCCCTACCCTGAAAGCATATCCTCCAACTCCCTGTCAAACTGCCCCAGCCAATGTCACTTGGAACAGAGGTGATCCATTCCTACTAAAGTCTATCCAATTGGCAGTCTTGAGAAAAAAATAAATGGATATTGTTTTAAGCCAACACATTTGTAAAATATTGTTGTTACATAGATAACTGAAATAAACCTCAAACATAAATCACCTAAAATAAGAACACTCACTTTTTTTGTTTTCATTTCCACACTTTGGACAGGGCTCCCCAGGGACAACTCTTCTCCGCTCCAGCATGTTTGAGGCATTTGCTGGGAAGAGTCAAACATGTGGGTCTGGAATCATCTGGGATTTTTTTTTTTAACTCACATTATCTGGCAGCTGGGCTGTGATAACTCAGTTTCACCTCCCTTGGAGTCCCAGCAGTTGGCCTCTCCTTTACCTTGGGCTCCCTACAGCACCAAAACCTGAAGGTAGTCACCCTTCAGATGTGGTGGCTCAGGATTATGAGAGCATGTTTCCAACAACCAAGTCAGACCTTCATGGCCTTTGTACCCAGCCTCGGAAGCCACACAGCACCACTTCTGTTCTGCTCCACTGATTGTCAAAGTCACAGTGTGGCCATAGATCTACTACTACTTGTGGAAATATATGAAAGAATCTACAACTCTGCTATAAAACTACCATAAACAATTTTACTCTGATTTGTTAAATATGGTTTTCTTGGTATTTACCCTGCCTTGAGTATGTGGCTTAATACTTTTGGCAGTTTAGAGAGTTGAAACTTTGCAAAAAAGTATATATGGAGTCAAATAGATATTCTATCCACTCACTTGAACTTTGAAGACATTCAAATAGCTGCTATTTGTCTCCTTGGTGTCCCCTCCTAAAGTGTCTCCTCAGTCACTTGGCTAAATTGTAGTCTACAGATTCATAAGATTACATATAGGCATACATGAAAAATTTTGAAATGTTTTTTCCACAGTGTTACTAGAAAGCTTTAGTTATCTGAGTGGGTAATCCTAATTTTTTGCAGTTGCCAGATATCCAATTCAGATCCATTATTCTTTTATGAACTAGTAAGTTTTATATTATCACACTTATCACATAGCTAAATTTATAGAATGAAAGCTACATAATCTTTGTATCATGTTGGGCATGCTTAGTATGTGCAAGGCCCTGGATTTAATCCCTAGTACTTTGTATTTCACAAATTAATTTTGCTTTGACCATCTTTAATAGAAATGGAAGTGACTGTTGAGAGAATTTTTTTTTTCAACAGAAAACTGTAGTACATCCTCATGGATATATCAGATTCTAGGTTTTGTTATATACTTATAAACTAGACTAGATCCTGAATTCTAGTTTTTTCCCATATCTGGCTCCCACTGTTTAATATTTCCAAATTTTCTCCCCAACTTCTGGCTCAGTAGTACTGAAAACAGAAACTAACTTTTCCCAAAGGCCTACAAGCTAAAGTTGGAAAGCTTGAGATATACCTTAGAAAAAATCACAACACTTCTTGTACTGGTTACCTTGTGGGCTGCTCAGAAAGTATCCTGGAACACCTGATGCAAACCACAAATCAGAAAAATCTGCCAGATTGCCTGTCCTCATGTCACCATCTGAAGATGCTTAGAGAATATCTAGAAATCTTTCTCAGTGACTGTCCTCTGGACTCAGAAACTGGGTGTAAAGTTCTTTCTAAACATTAGCCATTTTGATCCCATAGAAATGCCTTTGATTGCACAAATTATATGGAGACTTAACTTTAGTGGACACCCAACTTAAGTGGAAGCCTAACTACAAACACTGCCTCACAAAATAAGATATACCTCTCTTTAACTGTACTGACCCATACCTTGGGTTGAAAGACCAGTTCAATGGCTTATGGGACAATCCATCAACCTACTCTGGATGGCGAAAATTTTAGGCAGGGGAATGATGGAATTTAAGGCATGCTACTATAAAATATGGTAACTTTGCATTTGAGAAAACAGAAGATGCAGGTCATAAAACCTAGACAGGTCAATTTCTGACTTGCTCCCACACTTTTCCCCTGAAGTAGATCATAAGACCTTCATTCAAGCAGTACCCTTCCCGTTATAGTTGGATGTGAGGTGTTCCCCAGAGGCTAACATGTGAGACAGTGCAAGAAAGTTTAGAGGAGAAATGATTAAGTTATGAATCAACCCAATCAGTGAATTGATCCCATGATGGGATTAACTAAGAGGTAACTGAAGGTCGGTAGGGTATGGCTGGAGGAGGTGGGTCTTTGGGAGTGTGTCTTTGGGGTATATATTTTATATCTGGCGGGTAGAGTCTCTCTCTCCTTTCTGATCATCATGTGAGCCACTTTCGTCTGCCACACTCTTCCGCCATGAGGTTCTGCCTTATCTCAAGCCCCGAGGAATGGAAGAATGAAGCTGGCTGTCTATGGATTGAGACCTCTAAAACCATGAGCCCTAAATAAACGTTTCTCCTCTACAATTGTTCTGATCAAGTCTTTTAGTCACAACAGTGAAAAAGATGACTAAAACACTCCCTATACCTGGAAAAAAAAGGAACAACCTTACTCTGAAGACAGAAGGACACAGAATAATCTTTTAAATAGGACTTACAAAGTCCATCCCCAAACCTGGTTAATTACCATTATATCACACCCCCTTTATTCAAACATATTTCTCCACACCTATACATTACCTCATCAAAGTGCATAAAAATACACAGATTTCTATGTTCCTTTGGCACTTCATTTCTAAAGACCTCCATATCATGCAAAACGTATGTTAAATAAGTTCATGTACTTTTCTCAAGATGATCTATCTTCTGTTGTAGGGGATTCAGCCAGGAACCTAGCAATGGATGAGGGCAAGAAATCCTTCCTCCCCTACATGCTGAATATCAAGCACTGACTTTTGGGGAGAGAACAGTGGCAAGCATCTAAATAAGACATCCTTCTTTCTGTCCCGGAATCTAAGCCACCCTAAAACTTGCAATCTCAGATAATTAGCAAATAACAAAGCATAGATATTCAGAAATATATTTACAGGCAACGAAGCCCCTGATAGATCTAGTCCACATGGGTTCTGGAACTAGACAAAAATAAGATGATTCCTGTGGTTTATTTAAGGGGGCATATCAAAGGCAGGGATAAGGTTTCAAAAGGGGAGTTTTGCTTCCAAATGTTTTGCAGTCAGCAGGTTGATTGACATCTTGGCAGGTCACACCCATCTCAGGTGCTATAAGGGCTCTGGCAGAGCAAGAAAGAGATTCACAGTGTCCCTGGACAATTGACCAGAGGAAATGTCCACTGGCTATTCCCAGATACCATATGTCTCTATCCATGAGGTTTCCATGCAATCCATGGACAGCTCAAGACAACTGACTTAGCAGATTACTTTGACCTTAAAAAGTTGTGGACAGCTTTTGCCTGCACACATCCTTTATTTGCCTCACAGATCAGTTATAAGCATTAGTGCTGAGCTTCATACAGGTGTTCTGGAGGCTCTGTTTTCCTCCCCAGCCACGCCTTTCCTTCCCAGAATAAAATGTTTGTCAGTCCCATGTGTTGCTGTGGCATAGGGTTTATGTCAGATAGAAGGTCCTCTTTTCCCTAATATTTACTTGTTTTGTAAAATCAATATTCCTGTTAAAATATATTTGTGCAATAAAAAGCATTTTTATTTACACATAGTATATTAAAGCATAACATCTAGAAAGATACATAATAATATATCCCAAATATGACTTCCAGGAATGAGGGTGATAGAGGGGACAATATCCTATGGAAAGTGAATGAGCCCCAGTTATTGGCTGATACTACAATGTAGGAAAAAGCCACTCCTGGGAAATAGTCCTTGCCAAAAGGTGAGGATGTGAACAGCCTTATACTCAGCTCTGACATCAATAGTTATCAGATGTTCTAGTAAATGGGTTTTCTGGGTACAGCAGGATAGCAGCAGGAAGTTCCTAACACTGTAACAGCAGGATAACTACAAAAATGTTTCTAGCTCTGTAACTTTATAGTACACAAAGAAGCCTCTTCATAACTCACAAGCCTTGAACAATTTACAAAGCTTCTGTAGTTAAACTTCCTGATAATGAGACCCTATATAATAAACATGCTGAGCTAGTTCTGTGTCACTATTTCTCCATCAGAGGGCAGTGTACCACCTGGCCCCAGCCTTGCTTAAAAATGTCTCTGTGTTTTTCTTAATCTCTCATAGCCCCTACTCAAGATCCTTTGCTGTTGCTGCATGGGTAGCAGCAGTATTCTAAGAAATGAAAGAGACAATTGCTTTGTCTATAATGGTCCAATTTTTAATTTAATAAAAGTGCATATACTTAAGTGTCCCTTTTTAATTCCTGATATCATTTTTTGGATAGGCACTTTTTTTTTTTGAGGTATTGGGGATTAAACCTAGGGCCTTGTGCATGCTTGGCAAGTGCTCTACCATTGAGCTACAACCCCAGCCCTTGGATAGACACTATTTTGAATAGTAATATTTAAAGAGAACAGTATGCAACTTAGAAGAGTTACAATAATAACTCCTCTAATCAGATGAACTAATCTTAACTGGTGTTCTTAGAATATATTCAAGTCTTATCCTCCAAAACTTCAGATAATGGGTTAAATTTTTGGAAGAGCCCTCCTTAACTCTTACCACCCAGGTGTTTGTGAAATAAAGTCTGGAGTTGTTCCCACACATCCAGCTGGGCCATGGCATGAGCCCTGGGTTCCCCTCCATAGACAATAGGACCACCCACCAAGTCATGATGGGCAGCCCTGCACAGGGGCCAGTAAGGGGGCTCAATGTAGTGCCCTGCTTCTGGGTAACAGATGATCTGGGGCTTCTCCTTCCCATGGGCCTGCAAGCGTTTAGAGGCCTCATTAGCATAGAACTCGCTCTTCCAGTTGTGGTCATCCTGACCCACAAGGAACAGGAAGGTGGTGTCAGACCTCTCCACGGGAATAAAGCTCTTCTGGTCTTCCAAAGGACTTTTCAGGGCTTCCACAACATCCATGATGCCATCTTTGGTCATCTTGACTCGATCTCTCATGATACCCACAGGGGGCAGCGTCTCATCCTTGTAGTGTAAGCTAGCCCCAACAACGGCCACAGAGCCATTGATTATGACTGCAGCCGTGATGCCCTTCAGGAAAGAAGATATGGCAAGGCAGAGTTCTCCTCCTTTGGAATTCCCAAGCAGCCCAATCCCTGGACCCTTTACCTGAAAATGGGACAGAAGAAAAAGAAGAAGAAGAAATCTCTCACCCATGTAATAGAGTGAGCAGTGACCATGCGGGAAATCAGCTGGATCTGAGCCCGAATCTGAGCTCTACCTTCTCTCCAGGTTGTCACCTAGGGAACTCTACATATGCTTCCTCCCTACCTTATAAGAGCAACCTAAAGGGAGGAAAATTTTTTATGTGCTCATGTTTCAGAGGTCTCAGTCATGTCCAGCCTACTCCATTGCTCTGACCTGAAGCGAGGCAGAACATCATGGTAGAAGGTGTGGCAAAGGAAAGCTGCTCAGTTCAGGACAGCCAGGGGGTGGAGAGAGATCAAGCAAGGAGCCTGTGGCATAATATAATCCCCTAGTGGCCCACTTACCCAGCCATCTCCACCTTCCTAGAGTTACCACCCAGTAATCCATTCAAGTTATTAATCTAAGTCACGTGCAGCGGTGCACGTCTGTAATCCCAGCGGCTTGGGAGGCTGAGGCAGGAGGATCACAAGTTCAAAACCAGCCTCTGCAAAAGCGAACTACTAAGAAACTCAGTGAGACCCTGTCTCTAAATAAAATACAAAATAAGGCTGGGGATGCAGCTTAGTGGTCAAGTGCCCTGAATCCAATCTCTGATATCTCCCTACCCCCGGCCCCCCAAAATCCCTAAAAACAAAGTATTAACCTATCAATGGTAGTTTGGGTTTGTACTATCCCATGGGACTGCTCTTGTCCTATATTCCAAAGTCCTCTATGTTATCAACAGATGGCCCTTTGATAGACCTCTCACAGCAGTTTTTTTTTTTTTTTTAAATTTTAGTTGCAGATAGACACGATACCTTTATTTTGTTTATTTATGTGGTGCTGGGGACCAAACCCAGTGCCTCAGACATGCTAGGCAAGTGCTCTACCACTGAGCTGCACTCCAGCCCTCCCAGCAGTCTTTGTTCTTTCTTATGGCTTCCGTAACAGCACCCTTACTGGTTTCATGAAAGTAGTAAGAACTAAGTGATATTTTAATCAATCCAGATTGTCAGAGGAAGTAGATGTGACAACATATGGAGTTAAGACATTGGCAAAATAAAATGCCCAATTTAACTTATCTTTGTGTATATCTTATACCTTTTCCACTACACCCAGTCACCTTTTCTTCTTCTTTATTATAATTCTTATTACGGTACTAGGGGATTGAATCCAGGGGCACTTTACCACTGAGTGACATCCCCAATCCTTTTTTATTTTCACAAGGGTCTCTGAAAATTGCTTAGGGCCACAGAAAGCTACTGAGGCTGGCCTCAAACTTGAGATCTTCCTGCCTCTTTCTCCTGAGGAGCTGGGATTACAGGTGTATACCATCACACCTGGCTCCTGTAAGCTTTCTAATCACCTTCACCCTTGACAAGAAAAGGAGGTGAAGAGGACATTCCAAGAAGATGGCATGTCACAAGCATAGGGAAGAGAGCCCGTGCTCTGGGAACTGCAGGGAGTCCTGTGCAGTCACACATAGTGAGGCAGGAGTAGCCTGGCCCGAGTAAGGCCCTTCTCCTGAATGAGGAAACAAGTCCTCAGAAAAGGAGCTTCCTTGCCCTTCAAGGAGGGTCACCCCTTGACATTGAACATGAAAAAGTATGTTTTTTGACCTAAAAAAATACATTCTGGGGCTGGGTTGTGGCTCAGTGGTAGAGCACTCGCCTAGCATGTGTGAGGCATGGGTTCGATCCCTGGCACCACATAAAAAAATAAATAAATAAAATTAAAGGTATTGTGTCCATCTACAACATTATATACTATATATATATATATATATATATATATATATATATATACACAAATAAATAAATATATATATATACACACATAAATAAATAAATATATATATATATATATATATAAATATATACACACACATTCTTCCTGCTTTAGAAACTACATAATTGGTATGAGTGTGTGTGTGTGTGTGTGTATGTGTGTGTGTTTAACTGGGGATTGAACCCAGTGGAGTTCTACCACTAAGTCACATCCCCAGCCCTTTATTTTTTATTTTGAGCCAGGGGCTCATTAAATTGCCCAGGCTGTCCTTGAACTTGTAATCTCCTACCTCAGCATCCAGAGTTGCTGATATTATAGGTGTGCATCATGGTGCCTGGTCATATTACCTTTCTTTCTCTCTCTCTTTTTGTACCAGGGATTGAATCCAGACCTGATTAACAAATGAGCTACATGCCACATCCCCAGACTTTTGAAATTTTTTTTCTTTGGAGACAGGATCTCACTAAGTTACTTAGAGCCTTGATAAGTTGCTAACGCTGGCTTTGAACTTGTGATCCTCCTGCCTCAGCCTCCTGAGCTGCTGGGATTACAAGTGTGTGCCACCACGCCCAATCATATCACCTTTTCTAAGAGCTCCAGTGCTTCCATCCATATTGTGCCCTGATTGAATTATAAAATTAGCAAGGACTGCCTCCTCATTCTTGGCTACATTGAGTCTAAAAACCATAACTATTCCAGGAACCCAGGTGTTGGCTGTCAATTTCTTTCTTTAAGGTTAACCCTGTGCTCTCACAGGGATATGGGGGAGAGAGGGTGGCTGAGCACAAAGACTTACAAGCAGGAGTCTCCTGGGGAAGGTCAGTTTACTTCCTGTCGATCTAAAGGTTCTCAAAGGTACCCTATGAAATACTAAAACAAACTGGAATTCAGAATTCCAGAATACCAACTAGCAAGCTCTTTACTAATAGGAAATGTGATACTGTACAACTACACAGAAGTATCCCTGAGAAGTGTCTATGCAAGGCAGTGGCTGCTGGGTTAGGAGAGGCCCCCAAGAATGGGCTGTGGGGCTGGGGTTGTGGTTCAGTGGTAGAGTGCTCGACTAGCACGTGTGAGACTCTGGGTTTGATCCTCAGCACCACATATAAATAAATAAAATAAAGATATTTTGTCCAACTACAACTAAAAAATAAACATTAAAACAAAACAAAAAAAAGAATGGGCTGACTTCTGGGAAACCAAAAGCACGCATGGGGTGGGGAGCAGCCCACAAAACTAAGAAGAGATCTAACCTCAGGGTGATGGAGCAGGTAGTTCACAGCTTCCTCAAAGTACTCCAGGTGCACAGTCTCTAGGCTCTGGGGAAGGTCATCATAGCCATAATAAGCCAGAGCCATCACAGCAAAACCCTTGCCAGCCAGCAGACTAGCTCGGTACTCCAGAAGGCCACCTCCAAGTCCAAACAGGTCCACAATCCCAGGATAAGGCCCAGGTTCTTGGGGAGATAAAAAACAGAACAGAAAAGGGAGTTATAAAATAAGCAAGGATTATCTCCTCATCCTTTTAAGTCTTTGCAGTGCTGTCAAAAGCCATATATTACCTACTGGGAGATGAACAACTTTTCCACTATCAAAAATGCTTAAAGACCTCTGGTATCCAAACATCCAGAGAGTGGCCTAGGCTAAATCCACATTCCCCTCTGTATCCAAAAAGCCCCACGGATTTTCACAAAGACCTTGTATTTCTTTTGCGATCAAAAACACTTTATGGCCCCATGATACAGCAACTGGCTAGCATGAGTGATGCCCTGGGTGTAACAGCATTGGAAAAAAATACACACACACACACACACACACACACAAATGAACAATAAGAGCAACAAACATATGGCCTTTCCTAATCCCCAAAATTGGACAATGCCAACTGCCAGAGAATGCACAGCCACTGGAACTGTCATATAATGATAATTGTGATGCAAAATAGTACAGTCTGTGAAGAAATCACTTGGCAGTTTCCCCTAAAGGTCGATGTATTCTTCCCATATGATCCCCAAATCCCATGCCTAGGTCTTTACTCAAGAGAAATAAAAACTGTCTTCACACAAAAGCTTGTGTGGAAGTGTTTGTAGCAGCCTTATATAATTGCCACAAACTGCAAACAAATGTGCTTTGACTGGTGAATGAATATAAACTGTTCTATATCCACATTTTGCATTACACAGAACAGCTCAAAAAGTCTCAAATGCTAATGGGCACAGACTCAAAATGCTACTTTCTAGGGCTGGTGAAGCACTAGACACTAGCAGATGCAAGGCCTCAATCCTCAACCCTACAATAAAAAATAAATAAAAGGCTCCATTTTGCATGATTACATGCATAAGGTATTTTCACCATTTATATAATATGAAAATTTCTCTTTTACATATCCAGTTTAGAGAAAAACACAACAAACACTTGCTAGGCACCATGTAATGTAAGTCTCTGAATCCGTTTGTCCATTTCCCACCCCCCTTGGTGTGTGTCTTACAATTAGTTTTCTATACACACACACACACACACACACACACACACACACACACGTACATATATACCCAGGGGGCGCCTTAACACTGAGCTACATCTCCAGCCTTTGCTGAGGCTATCCTAGAATGACCCATCCTTCTAGGCCACCATGGCCTACCAGTTTTCTTGATAATATCACCACTTACATAAGTACATATGCACTTTAAATAACATTTTGCTTCTCTTGCCTGCCTTGTGAATTTTATCTCAATGAAAGGATACTGAATGTGTTCTGGTATTTGATTATTTCACCTAACACTGTGGGAAACAGGTTGATTCTTGCAGCTGTGGTTCATTCCCTTTGCTAGAAACAGCTCCACCTATCCATCACTTTCACTGTTGGTGGATATTCCGGCTGTTGCCAAATATGCCTCTGGGTGTACATGTACCAGAACAAGTAGAAAGCCATATTCAACTAGGTAACTGCAGAAAATTTTTTTCCCAGAGTAGCTGAACACTGTGACTGCTTCTGCTGCATACATGAGTTTCTTTCTTCCAGGTACTTGGTAACAATTGGTCATGTCAGAGTTCTAAATCTTTGCCACTCTTGAAGTTATGAGATGCATTCTGTATTTTTATTTTTGCATCTCCTTCATTACTAATGAGTCTAAGCATCCTTTCTTTTTTTTTTCACTGATCAATAACTTTATGTATATAAAAATTCCCAATAATCTCCTTAGATTCCCAGTTGACGGGAAGAGGACTGCCTCCTATTATAACAGGTAATTTACATAAACCTTAACATACTGTGGGAATGGGGAGAAAAGTTGTAAAAGCTGAGAAACTTTTAAAGAACATTAAAAAGTTGAAACTACCTACATATGGGGGGGGGTTTGTTTGTTTGTTTGTTTAGTTGCTAATGGACCTTTATGTTATTTATTTATATGTGGTGTTGAGAATTGAACCCAGTGTTTCACACATGCTAGGAAAGCTCTCCAACACTCAGCTACAACCCCAGCCCACTACAGATGCTTTTTAAAATTATTAGAAGTGTCTTTCCCCTTTCCTTAGGATGTCTTTTAGCTGATGAGCCCTGGAATTGAAGAATCTCTCAGATTTAGAGCAACAGGTCCACCTCCCAGGCAGCTTTTCTCTCAGATTTGGAGCATCAGGGCCACCTCCCCAGGCAGCTTTTCTTTCAATTCCTATCGTCTTAACTCCGACCTCTGGGATGTTGGAATCTACCTTTTTCCTAGGCGAAATAACAGAGACAAGAGACAGTGCTAGACCGGAACAATGAGGACCAGGTGGGGGCTCACCTGGTGGCAGGAACAGCGTGGCCCGCACCCTGCCCTCCCGCACCGGCACCCGCCGCACACCGGGCGGCACGAAGTGGCGCTCATGCAGCGCGCGGGCCAGCTGCTGCCCGGCGTCTGGCTCGTGGCCGTCCAGCACCTCCAGCTCCACCACGAAGGGCGTCTGCACGTCCCGCTTCACCAGGCGCCAAAACGGCTTATCGGGCTCCATGGCCCAGATCAGCCCCATGGGCTCCAGGCCCGCGAAGCTGCCGCCCAGCGCGGGCGCGCGCTCCAGGTCCAGCTTGCCCTCCGCGTCCGCGCGGTAGCGCGCGTGGGAGCGGAAGAGCGCGCCCTTCTCGTCGCGCAAAGACGCGAGCAGCGTGACCGGCTGTTCGGGGTCCAGGCCTTGCACGGCGATGTGCAGCGGCTCGTCCCAGCAGCGGCGGCCCGAGGGCTTCAGGCTTAGTGTCGCAGTTGTCCGTGAAGAAGCCCAAGTGCTGCGGCCACCCAGCCTAAGCAGAGGAGGCCCTGACAGCCGAGCCCAATTCTTCAGGCCCCATTGGCACAACCCGCACGCTCGCAGGACAGAGAGCGAAGAGGCAACCATTTTGCACCTTAACTCAGTCTACGCAACTGAACCGGAGAAAGGAGAAAATTAGAGGTCCTCTAGTGGCCGGCTGCCTGATGCAAGCTAAGTGCCTACCCGGCCCAGCCTCTCATTTGTTGGAGAGGGGAAGGGCGGAGCCCTGCCAATCAGAAAACGAAAATAGTTACTCATGGACTTTCTTAAGACCGCCTCCACTAAAAACTGCTTTATGATGAAGAACAACTTTCTAGTTCTGCTTCTCAGGCTCTCTTTGGCCCAGGAAAAGTGTGCTGGACCAGAGCTGGCTTTTAAAGAAACCTGGCGCCTAGCAAAGCCTAATAGCCGAGAGAAATGCAGGACTGGAATCCAGTTTTATCACTTTATTGGATAACTGGCATTCGTTACTACTCCTTTTTTTTTTTAAGAGAGGAGAGAGAGAGAGAGAGAGAGAGAGAGAGAGAATTTTTAATATTTATTTTTTAGTTCTCGGCGGACACAACATCTTTGTTGGTATGTGGTGCTGAGGGTCAAACCCGGGCCGCACGCATGCCAGGCGAGCGCGCTACCGCTTGAGCCACATCCCCAGCCCTCGTTACTACTCCTAAGCCTTTTCTTTCCAAATATGCACCACATTTTTTTGCTTGTGTATTATCTGTCAGTGCTTATCCTTCACATAGGTCCTCCGTCTAAGCGTCTTGACATCTTACTAGCCAGCTATGTGACCTCTGAGCTACAATCCATAGAGGTGCAAAAATAGCCAAATGATGTAATAGGAATTATGATTTTGTTATACTGGGTTGTCATTTTGCTCCATTAGGTAAACTTTATCTCCTGCTCATCCTAGATTTCTCACCTTTTTCATTGTTTCATAAATTATTGATTATGTTTTTCATCAAACTTAAGCTTTAGGCCACTTCCAAGGCCTGTTAAGATTTTACATTAATAATTTCATAACCTTGTTATTGGAGAAACCTGTATATGTATAAGCTATGTTTTCTTCTGCTCCCAAATAAGACCAACCTACAAGCCTTCTCAGACAAACCTATTCCAAGTTGTCTTGAGGCCTAATGGTCATTAATCACACAAACTCCCTTCAGCTCCAATTAGTCTTGTACTGATTCTATGAGATACTTCCAGTATTTTATGCATAGAGTCTCAGGATTTAAACAAAGGAAACAATATAGCTAATTTGTGGGGAGTTGGGGGTACTGGGAACTGAAGACAGGGAATAATTTAATTCTTAATCCTTAGAAGAATTATATGAGGTGGGTCTATGTTGGACAGATTAGACAAAGGGGGATGAAGGAAAAGAAAGGGAGGGGGATGGGAATAGAAAAGATAGTAGAATGAATCAGACATAGCTTTCCTATGTTCATATATAAACATGACCAGTGTAACTCTACATCATGTACAACCACAAGAATGGAAAGTCAGGGCTGGGGTTGTGGCTCAGCAGTAGAGCGCTTGCCTAGCACATTCAAGGTCCTGGGTTCGATCCTCAGCACCACATAAAAATAAATATATTGTGTCCAACTAATAAATAAATAAATAAATAAATAAAAGAATGGGAAGTTATACTCCATGTATGTATGTTATGTCAAAATACACTACTGTCATGCATATCTAAAAAGTATTTTTAAAAAGAACTGTATGAAGGGCTGGGGTTGTGGCTCAGAGGTAGAGTGCTTGCCTTGCATGTGAGAGGCTCTGGGTTCAATCCTTAGCACCACATAAAAATAAACAAACAAAATAAAAGTACTGTGTCCATTTACAACTGAAAAACAGGATTTTTTTTTTAAAAGGACTGTATGAGGGGTTAACTGATTTGTTGAACATCACACATCTAGAAAACGGAAGTATTGGGATTCATACCTTTGCAAACAGATTCCCCAGCCTATGCTCTGAACCATTATGCTTTATTTGCCTCTCACATAATGATATCCTATGTTGAGAAGAGTATTTGGAAAATACACTCATATATTGGAGCATTCTGTATAAAAAAAAATAGTAAAAGATGCATTCTCTTTGACTCAATCCCACTCTGAGGAATAGTGTCTAAGTAAATATTTACAAATGTGTGTAAATAGGTGGCTACCAGGAAGCTCATCATGGTATTTCTTTTTTGTTTATTTGTTTTGCGGTCCTGGGGACTGAACCCAGAGGTGCTCTATCACTGAACTACATCCTCAGCCCTTTTTATTTTTTGAGACAGAATTACGACTATATGATCCAACAGGTCCACTTCTGGGTATACACCCGAAATAACTGAAAGCAGAGACTTTCATATAAATGTGAGTCTACTGATATCTATTCACAGTAATTCTGTTTAACTTTCTGAGGAATCTACAAGGTTTTGATATTTAGTCCTGTCGTCTTTTGACCCTTCTCTTTCCATCCTAGAGAAAGCATCCTCTGCCCTTTTTCAGGAGCCCAGGGTCTGAGTACAGTTTGTGCCTAGGCACTGAAGTCAGTACTCAGGCTGGTCCCAAATGCCAATCTTGCCGGGAAACAAAAGATATGACCATCTGAAAAGTATGACCTGGGCCAACTAGACAGAACCTTCGGCCCAGAAATCTTCCCTCTTATCAGGACAAATTTTGTAACAGGCACTCTTAAAATCGGAAATTTTCAGAGAAACCTCAAGTGGTTTCTTCCTCATTCCTAGCCATTGCTGTTCTTTAAGCTAATTTCTCTATCCCAGCTTCCAACAGGCAGTCACATCATGTTGAAATCAGAAGCTGAAACTGCTCCCAAAGCCCTGCCCCCTGGCACCAGGAAGATGCAACAGAACCCAGAAAACCAGAATAAGCACACATCTCTCAGCTTCCTCAGATGAATCTACACGTATATATTTCTGGGCTTTTGTTCAACAAGAATGATCCCTCCTATAAAATATAACACAACTACAGGTTGGGAGATGGCAGATTAGCTGTCTTCCCAGTTTGGTCAAACTGCTAATAAATTCATTTTTCCTTTTTATGCAATTTTTATCTTACTCCTGATGCAAGTGAGTGTCCAAATGGTAGTTGGGACTTCCAGATTCAGGCGTCTGACCTGAGACCCAATAAATGTCACAAACAGATACCTTTATCTTGGCATTTTTCCATCCAGAAGAGGGCAGATTATCGGGTTTATATGAACACTCCTTAAATGATTGACATGTCTACATGGAGAATTGAGCAGTAATCTGACCCCTAGTTTGAGGTACTTGAAAGAGACAGGGGCAAATGAACATAGAGATGTCAAGCTGTTATACTGCTTTTAATTATCTATCAGACATATACAGGCCCAAGTGAAGAGTCACTGCTTTTTAGCAAAAGCAGACTCTGGGTCCCTGAGATCCCTGATGTATAAACTCCTTATGGGGAAAAAAAAAATTAAACTGCCTAGCTCTAGAGGTTTATTTTTTAAATAACTAAGAAATCCACTAAGCCACCAATCAATAAGTATGATATAATTTCTCAAAACTCAGTTTATACAAGGAAATTGAATCAACAGTCAAAGATACCCCCGATTGAATCCACAGGTTCCATGAGGAAACTCAAGAAATTCTGAAGAGTTGGTTGCTTGGTGACCAATATAAACAACTTTTAAATCTAAGAAGCCAAAGAAGACTGAAGGCGCAAGACCTTGCTTTCCTTTAAGGACTGTGCTGTAGGAGGCCATTTTTCAGGTAATTTCAAAATACTGCAGGCTGCACCAGGATTAAAAAGGTTTTCATGAGCATTCACTGAATGAGGCAGCCTGGGGCAGTTTCAGACTCTGGATGATTAGGTGACAAAGAGTCAGTATTACTTCAGATACCAACCAGGACTAGGATCTTAATCAAGCTCTCTCTGGACCCTGATTTGGGGATTTTTAAAATGAAGGCATTGGAACAGATCATCTTTATGGCAGAATTTCCAAAATAATCTCTGGAGACAGCTATTTAACTGTGTGAATACATAATGAGAAATGGAAACTAGAAAGTTGAGGGGGTGGAAATGAGGGGAACTTTTGGAGTAGAGGGAGGAGGTACTTTGCAGCTTGCACAGAATTTTCACAAGTTTCTGGTATCATATCAACACTAAATTTCAGCTTCCTATCAACACTAAATTAGGACAGGTATCAGACTCTCCATTTTCAGATTGGCAAACCATTTTTTGAAGGTGTCATGGTTGGGAAGTGCAGAATCTGGCCTTAGCTCTGACTTCTGACTCTAAGACTGACAATGATGAGCCTTTTCTGACCAAAAGTTACATTCTGCCAATCTGTTGAAAATATTTCAGTTACCTTCATCTTGGCATTTTCCATCCAGAAGAGGGCAGATTATTGGGTTTAAAATAGACTTTTCATGTGTTTCCTTCCTTTTTGATTAGCCACTCTATCAGATGAAAACTACTATTCCTTAAGAATATAACTGCTAATGATAGTATGGTATTCTTTCTGTTTACATTTTTACTGTTTTGGTTTGGATATGAGGTGTTGCTCAAAAGCTCCTGTGTAAATATAGGACATACAATGATTAGATTATGAGAGCTATATCCTAATCCATGGATTAATCCAGTTAGTGGGTTAGTAATTTGAATGAATTACTGGGTGGTAACTGTAAACAGATGAGGTATGGCTGGACAAAGTGCTTCACTGGGGGTGTGCCTTGGGGATTACATATTTTGTCCCTGGCTTCTTGAGTTCTCTCTCTGCTCCTTGGCTGCCCTGAGGCAAGCAGCTGTCCTCTGCCATGCTTTTCTGCCATGATGTTCTACTCCATCTTCAGCCCAGAGCAATGGAGTCAGCTCACCAAGGACTGAGACCTCTGAAACCAAGAGCCAAAATAAACATTTCCTCCTCTAAATTGTTCTAGTCCTGTGTTTTAGACACAGTGATAAAATGCTAGCACTGTTACCAAGGTTTCTTATGTCACATGTTAAAAGACATATATCTGGGGACAACCTTGATCACCCCACACAGGCAGTCATCTTGGAATGAATCATCCTCTTTCTGTTTTTAAAGTGTTTGGAATCAAAATGCTCCAGCCTAAGCAGCAAGGTACACATCATTGTGCAAGAATTTGAAATTCTTATTAGAGCACATGTAAGTCAGAAGAACACAAATAGTGTTCTCATGTGACAGTTCAT